GGCGGCGGAGTGACTCTCTGAGTAATCTCCCATTTGAAGGCAAAAGTGGTGGGCGATACGGCTTTCATCCAACCTTTAGACTCCTTATGGTGCTACTTCACTTTCCACTGGATCAAATACCTGATCGGGGTGATACGTCAGTCCTCTACCACCTCCCCTGCCAGTAGGGAAATAGTCATCAGGATATTCTTGTCGACTCACTCTGCAAATTACAACTCAATCATTACCGGGAGTTTCAACACTCCTTCCATCCTCTTCGAGAGGAAAGAGAGGCTGGTCCTCCAGTCAGCAGCTGAAAAGTGCGACTAAATCTGCTAGTCTCTCAGAGAAATTGGGTGGTGCCACACGTTGGCAGCCTAGCGGAAATGCGTCAGGCCTGGAATACGTTCTGACGAACAATGATCTTCTCATTGAGAAGAACGTATTCAACCGCAACGTGACCTCAGTGATCATCTAGTAATAACTTTCTCCATGATAACTAAGAAAACCCTGCAACCAGAGATAACTAATACCTTCCCTTTCTGCAGCCAACTACGACAGAGAGGTTGCCTCATGAATGCACCATGGTCTGTAGACTGGACTCATGTCACAATAGATCGTCAATGGACACGGGTGACGGAAACACTCCTCGATGCCATTAGTCACAGTGTGCCAACCGTCACACATCAACCGACAGTGAGAACCTTATGGTGGAAGCGCGAGAAAGAGGTTTACTGAAACCAGAGACCAGGCCCGGTTCAAGTGGCATTCAACAGTCATGGAGCCCGACTTCTTGAACTAATGAAATATTTGCAGCCTCTGCAACATAAGAGTTCGTAACGGCAGGTGTAGCTATGAAACAAACCTGGTGTGAAGGTAGCTCTGAAAACCTGTACCAAATTACGTCGAAAAAGCAGTTGGACAGCAAAGGAGTTAATTATTATCAAAGGTCCCAGTGGAAATGGACTAAGCAATCCATAAATAGCTGACCTTCCTAGCTCACGCCTCGAAGTGCACCTTAGCACTTCTTTCATTAAATGTGCACCGGTGCTATACGACCCTAATCAGACCATAAACAACGAATGTCTACCACATCCCTACTACACAGAAAAAAGTATCGGGGAAATATTCAGGCTGCGTCCAGGCGAATCCCCCGACTACGACAACCTGAGGATTAACATCCCTAAAGAAATGCATCGGCAAACTCCCCAAACACTCGTCAGAGTAATGCAAAATTCCTAAATTAGAGGATTACACAATCTAGTAAACCAGTTTCAAGGGGTTGGACAAAAGAAGTCCTAGCAGATACAGACCGATTGCCTAATTCCTATGCTGCTCAAAGCATTAGAAAGCCAGATAGCAAATGAGATATAGGAATTCATTAACAGAAAAGACAAAAATAGATACTGTTCCGCATAGCTTGAGGAAAGGTTGTTGATACTTCACAAACTAACAAACTGAATTAGATACAGTTTCGGAGTGCCTAGGATGTCTAGAAAGTGTTTTGAAAAGAGCCTGATAGATGTTGTCTTTTAACATGAGCTTGACACCCTTTGTGGCTGGGTAAGGGATACAGAAGTTCCACCTAAAGTGGTCTTCGTCCGTGGTGGTGTTCGCATGGCTACAGACCTAACTTTGTTTTCAGATTTCCTTGTGCTATCCTTTGGTGTTGATCTTCTTTTTTTCAAGCAGGTACATGGCTTTTCTAGGTGAAGATTAGCTCATCAGTATCCTTCGTATGAAGTGCAGGGAGCTTTCTGAATTCCGGGTAAGTGTATCAGAACCATTTGAATAGTTATCTCTTCGTGAATTTATGGTACTGTTGGGGTACTATGCTGTTACAATGACAATGTATCAATCAGTGACATAAGTTGGACGGGAATGGCTCTTCTACTACCATTACGACTTTAATCCAAATACTACAGATATCAGATGTTATGGTGCAGCCTATTTTCCTTGGAAATGGTGCAGTATTTTGCGGTGAACTGCCTGTGGCTATCTTGTTCCTGCGTTTACCACGTTGTTTCCTCTTTTTTCGCATACTCTGATCCTCTCAGGGTTTGGAACTACCTTGCGTCGTCTGTGTGGTAACTATGGGTATCCTAGAAATGGGGTTGGCCGCTTCTTTAGGATATCGGGGTTCTGTTCCACCCTTAATTGGCTGTGGATACAATCTGAGGTGTTGTTTCAGGATCAGTACCCCTCCTACTGTACGTTTGCATTATCCATGCAAATGCCTCAGATCTACCGATTCGGTCTGACATGACAGTATTATAAAAATGTATTTAACAGTGACACAGAGATCGAAGATTGAATGCAGTGAAAGAACAGAATGTCTAAAAAAATTTATGTAGGCTTACCTTCAGACACTTCTCATTTGTCCCTCTGCACTTGGTCAACGGGCTTAACCGTGATCCCCACTGATGCATGCCGAATCAGATGAGATGTTTCCTGGGAAATGCCCTCCGTAGAGGACCCGAAGATAAAGCAGTTGAGCAGTTGAAACAACTGAGAACCAGTGACAGAAGGTAGATTGGCAGGTCATAGTAACTAATTATGCTGAGTTTTTCTTTTCCGAGTTGTTTTAATGACCGGGTGGTGGTGATTAGGAGTTTTTAGGTCGAATTCTAGAGTATAACCTCACGTTCTCCTTTCTCTATGGCTGGCTCTATCGTTTCTTCTAATTCATTTGCTTACATCATGTTACTCTTCCCTTTACTTTAGATTCTTCCTCTTTTAATCTTTTCCATTTTCTCTGATTTATTTCCCGTAACCTTATTTTTCTTTTTCTCTTCCTTGTGTAACTAATGTGAGTAGCCGTGTGTTGACATCAAACTTTATTTTCCGCATCTGTTCGAGCAATATCATTCGCCTCACAAAAAATCCAACCAACACGCAATCAAGCATGGAGCTTGTCACAGCTAGAGATGGTGGAGTGTGTGAATTTGCTGTATCTGAATCCACTAAACACCTGGAAACTATTCGGTAGAGCCCGAAGCTAGTGGTAAGAGATCACTTGGTTTATGCAAGCCTGTGAAAGGGATATTACAAATATTGACGACAGATAAACACAATACTAATCATTTAACTTAGTTTCGTCTGTCAAAATAACACAACTTATCTGTAGTCATATAACCATTTAAAATTCGTATTTAAGCTGTCTACTGATAAGATAGCAGACAAATGAACTGACAGTTAACTACAGAATGCACAAAATCGAGGCGCAATGTGCTCGAGTTTTATCTTTTTTGATAACTGTTCTCATTTTGATTGCTACGGGAAATATGTAACGACCTGATGTTGATAGGCTTTATTGTATTTTTTACCTATGATGTTGCAGGGTGAGTGACAGGAGAGCACACGTAAGTCTAGGATTTTGAAAATCTTTATTTGGAGTAAAGAAGAGAAAGGAATGAATCAGTGACTTGTCAGGTGCAAAAAATTTAATTGCATTTAATAACAAGTGATAGTCAAACGATAGTTGATAATGCGCAATGAGACAAAAAAGAAAACTTAGTTTCGGAACTAGAATTTGCTTGGATTCATTTCTAATTCCCTTAAGGGAACAGTACTACCTCGCTGGTAAGATTTTCCTCTTTAAGTAACTCGTGTTGCCTATGATTTTGTCAAAAGTTGTCAGGCTCCCTCTCAGCGTGCAGTAACTGAGTGTGCTAAGACAAATTTCTTGAAGTTGATACTAGTCAGGCTTACTTCTCAGTTGTGCAGTACTTTTTATTAGTCTCTGCTGGATCTTTTCTATAAGATTTTCATTTCAATCAAGAAGAACCGAAATGAAAGTGTTGTGAGTTTTGAGATAAGATCATATATAGGCTCTGGAGCGTTAAAGGAAGAGGTATGGAATGAATGCTTCTAAATATCTACAGTGTAGGGCCTTAATATGGTTTTCAAGTCTTTTGTGCTTTCCTTCAGGTTCACTCTTTGGAGCAGTTCACAGTTATGCTTAATCGCTGATTGATACAGGCCAAATACACAATGAACACGTAACCTTTTGAAGTGCTGAAGTATGTGATCTTCAATTTTCTGGATTATTTACAATATCTAAGTTCTTTGACAGATACAGTTAACAATAAGCAAGCAAAGATTATGTGAGACATTGTAGCTGTTAAGTAACTGATAGGTTGTTGCAGTGCTTCAGCACCATGGTTCGCAAAATCATCTACCCATTTTCATCAATTACTAACACGATGCAAACAGTATCTACACCCAAATTACCATTTCATCACTCCGGAAAATGCCGCAAAGAATGTCTCAGCATACGTTCAAGAGTCGACAGTGAAGATAAAAAGTCTTATATTGCTTCGCACGCCAAGGACAGTAGTTTTTTGATAAATTTTTGGCTATCTTACACAATCATGTGCGTAAATTTTGGTTAGTGAAGAGAAAAAGCAGGGTGTTTCCTACTTATTCCAACCTCAAGGGGGCTGTTTGCCACCCTTCTTCCAATCCTGGAGTTGAGAAACCGCTTTTATAATGGCTTATAAACCAAGAGACTTTCAGCATCACTAGTGTCCTGTGCTTCCTGACTCACAGAAACTTTCACATGAAGTGCGGTCTTTTCGAAATTGTAGACGGATTTTCATCTCCTCACTTGTGTCAACTGCAACTGCTGTCTTGCCAGTGATGATATATAACTCCTCGTAGTACTGAAATGTTATGTATTTTCAAGAAAAGCGATTTCTCAATAAGTTTCAGTTTTGTAACTGGATATGTTGATAAAAGATTATGTTAGCTACTTTTAGAGCATTAGAATGAAGCGAGATTGAACGAAAATTGAAGACGGTTCCCTTAAGATGTGCAATTAATCTACTTAACTTCCAACTGTTAACCTGAAACGCGTGGGAAACTAGTGGATTCCTAGATGATTTCTCCCTAACTTGAGGATTTAAAGTGTTAAGACGCCCATGATATTATTCACAGTTGACCACATTAGTAAATATGTATCCATGTGTACTTAAAGATATGCGAGTGAACAACAGCAAATTTATGTGGTCATTACCGTCATGTATGATCATAAATCTGGTACTCTACTGTGTAGACATATTTTACTTCCATGTGCAATTCGACTGTTCATCTCTGAACAGAAAAACAGAAAAACTTATTTTCGTAACGAATACGTAAGAACTCGTTCACTTCTATCAATGGGTCGAAAATCAATCTCTTCCTATCCAATTCGTACACAAAGTTTTCTAATAAAATCTTTAAGGTTGCAAAATTCACATCACACAGAGTAAGCGCTCATGCTTTAGTTTAGGCTTTCCAATTTCAAGTAACGAGGAGTTATGGACAGTAGAGGACTTCAGGATGCGCGTTTCTTGCTATTCTTGACTCGTCAGCCGGATGTACCTGCACCCCAGTGAATGATGGTGTTCCCATTTAGACTTGAACCTTATACCCATCGCTTCAAACGCCAGGGCCTTATCCACTAGGATACTGAGGTGCAATAGCCATCTTTTGTACAACGGGTATTAGTTATTACTATTTGTTGACAGACTTGGAATTCCCTGTAGAACAGTTCAATCCAGTGTAAGAAAGGGGAATTACGAGTATATCGACAAAGGAGGTTTTTGTTTGGAAAATAGTTGACTTGTAACGGCTAGTTGTACACACGTTTTTGCCTAGCCTGTAGGCAGGTACATTGTTGCAGGGTGACGCGTAGAGGAGTGTGAATTTACTGGTGACCTCGAGAATCTGAAAGGGAAAGAAGAAGAGTAAAACCTTAACCGACGAATTGGCGAGCACTTAAACGTGTGTCATTTCTTTACCATTCATATCTCGTCAACCTTTAGGATTTCATTGGGAACTTTACGCAGAAACGTATACTGGTAACTGACTGTGCGTTTATTAGTTTTCATTCATCACCGTCACTGACTTGTTTATAAAGGGCTTTATGACTTCATTTGACTTAACAGGGATCGATCTCCCAGCAGGAAACTCTGGCTAATTTAGGGCACGCAAACAACTTAGTCTCATTCGCTGAATATGTTTATACAAGGTGAATATGTCAAATATTAATATCAATTTCCTGCGTAGAAAATTGATCGTTTTTATTCACGAATACCAGCGTGAGCTCCTATTTTGGGTGCTAGATTTTAGGAAGGTGAATAACCCTCGAACAAAATACGTTTGTTGCCTGCTTTTATATTTCAGTGAGCTTATGAATCTAGGTGCATTTTTATACAATTTCATATATGTATATTATATCCTACTTAGCTGCATTTGTCATGCCTTTGGTAAATTCACCCTAGCCGACACATCAGGTTTTCAACATCGTTTTCGAAGAAGACGAAGTACAATTAAACGTGAGTGTCTTTACGCATAATAGAGACAGTTGAATTTCATGAGTAACAACATATAGAAACAAACCACGCGGTGTTTTTGTTCACCTGGTTACTCAACATATGCTTTCTGTGTAACAGAACTAAACAATACACAACTCAATATCAAGCTAGTAGAAATAACTGAAAAGATGTTTTCTCGACTGGATTCAAGCTTGTTTGAGAGGCAACAACAAATAATACAGGTGAGAGACGCGTACAAGTAGAAACAAAGGAGTCATACCTTCCTTTTCAAACTCAGTATGTTATGAATCATGTGACTTCTTCTTGCTCGTCGCTAAATTTTAAGAAACCCAATCGGATTCTTTATGGATACAGATATATGGCTGTGTAGAATCTTTTCAAGATGTAAATATGGTAGCGATGGCTACCTCAGTAGGGAATGTGTTTCACCTTAGTGACTGTTCGCACCATTCATAGGTTCCAGTGACCTCAATGGCTTGAAATCTTGCGAACCGCTATCAATCCAGGTTCATAATCAGACCTGCGCTCTGTGAGGAGAAAGCTGTCAGCTTACATTTTTCCTTTTCCGTCTTGATCGAGTCAATTTGTTGCGTGGATTCCGCCTATTGGGAAAGTAGGTTCCAACGGGTGATTACTACGCCTTCAAGCCAGTTCTGTGCCAGGAAGCTTCTGTGAAAGCAATGGTGCGGACGAAACAAGAGAGAGTTGCTCCCTAGGTCTACCGTGATGATTTTCTTGTTTACAATTATCATGATAATAAATGCAGTACTAGCTTGTAATCTGATATATGCCACCCAGATTCTGCATTGTGGACAGGTATGACCATTTTCATTCAAGTTATAGGGGAGTGTACCATCACTACTGGATAGTATAAATATAGTACTGGGTGAATCAGCAATTTAGGGTGCGAGAGCTCTGAACATTCATGAGTGTAGCTCTTCTGGTTCCTTTTACTTTTCTGTATGTAGAGTACTTAGCGTTCAACACAGCCGACGTCTACGGGGATTATTCTGCTGAATTTCCATGATTATACCGTTGAGTTAGTTCCCGCTGAGCGTTCCTGGGTGAAGACCTCGACAGTATATCCATCCACAGCTTCACTCCTTCTCTACCATATTTAGCTAAGGAGTTAGTTTTGTCTTCACTTAGAGTGGGAATATCATGATTTTTCCATCCCTTTAGTCCATATTAGAAAATCACCTATCTTGATTTTGTACTCCTGCTTGGACAAGATAAGTTTGAAACATATTCCAGATTGGCGGCTTGAAGCAATGCATTCATTCCAGGCTTCCCTGTCATACTCCTTCCTCCTGGAACCATCAAAGTGGGTGGCAAAACCCCAGCAGTTTCTCTCCTGTCTTAGTGAATTCCGAATTTCACTGCCTATTGACGGAGAACCATGTTTTTTTCCCGTTGGGCCAGTTCATGAACAGTTGAGTCACTCGTTAGTACGACCGTTTGGAGGGACACCATGCAACCTCGTCCCGGGCTTCATAATTGACCATCCAGTCCTCCAAAGAGGCTACCGAGTTAATATCTGCGGTATTTGCCTTTCACATGGTAGGCGTAATTGAAGCGTTGGCTTGGTTGAAGACGGTTGGTGTGAATCCAAAGATGATCGCTGCATGATCACCTTTACTGAGGCACAAGAGGCGCAGGATGGAGCTCACATCATCTATGTGGGAGAATACTAGGTCAAGAACTGATGGGAATATGCTGCTGACTGTATTGGATTGCTACTGTAATGTGCTTTACGAAAGCCAAGGAGATAAATGTCTCCATTGACCCTATGATCGAAAGAATTACCTGCTGCTTCCCTTATTAAGTTGTCCGGGCTAACCTGTAGCGTCACACGCTTCCCCAGAATCAATAGCATAGGGTTCAACAAGATTCAACGTTGATGCTGACCTTCATGTTTTAACTGGACTCGTTAGGCCGAGGGCACCTAGTCAAGCATCCATGCCATTTAGCACGCCGTTGCGTTACCTTGCACTGCACGTAATCAACTTTCTAGTCAGTTAGTTGGAAAGCATCGGTGGCCTGGTGTGATGAAATTTTCTGAAATTATGCATCTGCAGTCATCTGTCCACGGGGTCAATGTACTAATGAGAAGGTCGCCGGCCTCACCTTAAGGGCTTCAAAATGCTATGAGTAAGTTAGCATCTTCTGTCCTACATTTTTTTCGGACAGCTGCACTTCAAGTGCCCCACTTTCGTGCGCGATAGTCTCAGCTGTCCTTGCAGTTGAGGTGCTCTCTAAGTAAAATCTTTCGCCCTGGCCTTCACGTGCCATTCGATCACCTCGAAAGGAAGTGACACCTTGTAAATTAGTTCAACTAACCCTGACCTAAGAAAACAGCCATTTTTCTGGGTCACTACGAAACCTGCAGTAAAAGTTTGAATGACTAGCTCTTTTAGTTTGACCTCGAAGGATTTTCTCAGTGTCCCTACACCACCCAGTTTCCTGTAAACGAAGCGTGGCGCTGTGAAAGCTATGAAGGAATTCCTTTAAAACTTTAAGCTAGGGTCTGGTGATTGTGTGAGAAAGGTACATTCCTCTAAATTGGGAGGACTCATTTTGCAATTCTGGAGTGCGGAGAGAGTGTGGAGAGTGTGTCAGAGGCGTTGATGGGATCCGGAAAAACTCCATGGACAGGAACTTGGAGGTTCAGCATTCCGCCCAGCTACCACATATTACCAGGAGGTCTGAGGAGTAGGACCTACCTTTTCGGAAACTGTGTTACGTGTCACTAAGTACTTTTTAAAGTACCTCCTGATGCTCTCGTTTGGCGGGCTTTCCAGTTGTTTTGAAAACGCTAGTTGAAGTACTCTGGGCCGACAGCACAGAGCGCTTTGGTGACGGGACAAAATCGTACGTTTCCACTTCTATGGGGGCATACATTAATCTAAGCAGTATTGAGAAAGGTTAAAAAGCTTCACGTAGAGTGTTTGCATGCTGTTGCAACACAGATGGGCAAGTGTAATCACTTCTTGTAGAATTTCCCGGACGCATTTGCCACAACCATGCCGGAAGTACCCTGCTTTTTGTGTAACTTATACACTGGGGAAAGTTCAGAGTTGTTCAGGCCACTGGTGTTTGTCTTTGGATAGTGATATGTTGAGCTTTGTGTGGCACGTAGCCCTTGGAATTGTAGCAGTGGGTTCCTCCCCACTAAAGCTTTGTAAATTGCGTGCCTTCTGACCAGCAAATTTTCTCATCGCCGCGAATCGATATAGATTCTTGTGGTCCACCTCAAATTTTTGAACAACGCGTACTACCCGCACCTTGATGTCGTATCGATTCCCTAGAGTGACACATGGACTGTGGTCTGACTCTCTTATAGAGAGTCTCTATTCGTGTCATGCCCCCCGTTTGGCATTCCAGAGGCCCACATTGCCCTATTTCACCCGTGAAGTTCACTTTTTGGGCGTTATTGTCACCCTCAGTATATTTCTAGAGGTCTTCCTCCTGATGGTATGCCTAACAGCTCCTTAGTGATGGTAGATTGGTAAGGTTTTCCACTTTTGAACCCATCAGGTAACCTGCAGGTACTGTTTCATCGCCACATAGTTTGACCTGAGGTATAAAAGACAATGGTGACAACCCTCCCACGATTGTTGTTTACTGATAACCATCTCAATTGCTGTCACGGCATGACCACTGATACCAAAGGGAATTTGACTCCTAACCTACTCCATTAGCAGATGGTATTTATTTACAAGATAGTCTGGTTATGACGACTTTCTACCCGAATGCCAGCAAGTCCAGTAGTCAGTCCGTTCATTCAGTGACTTGTGTGGTGCCAGCACCCGCACAGACCACCGCCCCGGGTGCAAGCGACAAGGGTGCCAGCATCGCCCCCCGCACAGTCACACCCTTGAATAGTCCAAAAAGTCCCAGACGACGGCCAGGCGCGCGGCCAACCACATTAGTTCCCAACCCTGAAGTCACTTTGACAGCTACCCCCACTGCATACCGTTAAAAATTGGGTTACAGCGGAAAAGAAGTTCCACCCTTCGCCCTGAAAAACCCACCCACAGTACACGACAACGAATATGTCGATGACAGACTGAATTCCATCATCCTATTTGGCGTCCCTGTGTGCCGCGACAACCGTCTTGAGAACGGAGGGTCTTAGGATAAACAGCAATGGCAAATGGTAAGCGCCACACTAGGACTGGGACCCTTAGAAGCAAGGCTATGCTGGCTCCACAAAGGCAGTTACTCACCTAGGGGAAAGCCACCGACAATGAGAGTGACCCTGAGCTCAGCTAATGAAGTGGGAAGATTCCTGTTGCTGTCAAATACACTGGTTATCGACCGGTCATCAGGCATTGGGGTCAGGCCAGATAGGCCATAATGGGCGAGGAAGGTATCTCGCAGGGCACTCTATGCACTAAAACCAACAACCACGGCTTACCGAAACTAACAACCAGCACATTACTAATGATAATAAATATTTTATTCTCAAACTAACAGTTTAACATGAGAGAAGCCAGTTTACAGGCATCATCAAATTGATAACAGTAAAGAAATCTCCAGTAGTTGAGCTGTCCTGAGTGATACAGAAGGTATCGTATAACGGTTTATCATGACAATAAAAGTGACTACAGGTTATGAAAAGAACAGAAAAAGTATCACTTCAGAGTACATTCAGGTTGCCTATAAGTTTCGGTTGTCCCCAACCACCATTCTTTTTACACAATAAGGTGATACCAGAATCTTGCAATATTCGACGTTTACGTTATATGTGACCAAGATGGTTAATCTGGCTGTATAGTTCCGTGTTTCGATAGACAAAAGTTTATTTTGACATCAGTTGACGTGTTTATAGCGTCTTTGGCCAACGAAAACTCACTTAATTGATTTCAGGCAACGGTAAGCGGTAGCGTAACCACATCATTAGTTGTTGCTGTACACAGAGATAAACATCTGAGGGACCATCATCCGATTTGCACATAGAGTATAAATTTAAGCATATAGCATTATCAAGGTGATATGTTAACTGTTAAGTGTCTTCTACAAAACGGAGTCAACTGACGTGAAGTATTTGAATCACTAGGTGAGCTCATTTGT